CGTTAATTGAAAAAATAATTTGAGTGTTGTTGACAAAAAGAAAAAAAGAAAAAATCATTTGAGTAAATATATAGGGATTAAGATTGGAGAATAAATTCATTACTTTCATAGAACTGATCATGTTTCTTCACTTTTGAATACCTCTTATCTTGAAAAGTTTCCGGCAAAAAAAAAATTCAATTTCAACAAAAAAAATTCATATCAATAGATACTCAAAAATCATATTGAATAATGGCAACTTATGGTAAAGATAATAGTAATGATTACATAGCTCTTATTAATGAACTTGTATTTTTGAAAATAATAGAACATGTTTGTTCAATCGCAAATTTGTAAGTATCATAATAGGAGAATAGTAGGAAAAGAAAATGGCAGAGAAGAATACTGAGATGTGGACACAATCATACCTTAGTTTGTTTGAAACCTTTTCTTTTTGTGCCATCGATGAATCTGAAAAAAAAATGGTGGAAGGATTAGTCGAAAGGATTTAACAATTGTTTTTGTTTTACTTTATTTGAAAACAATGTGCTCTGATTGACTAAATGAAGGAGTTAAATAAATGAAGATAAATGGGGAACGAAAAAAATGGATGATAGTTCAGTTTTTTTTTTATCAAACGTGGGGAGTCTAACGTGGGGAACTGCTTTCGCAAAAAAAATAGTTTAGAAAAGAAAAATAGCAAAAGAAATATTATCAAAATTTATGGTAAAAACACGTATTAACATAGCTTAGGTATAAGTTTGAGAGTGATTTTAAGACTCTCTCACTAACTTGTGTTTTATATGTATAGGGATTCTCGTTGTTTAAACAATACTATAGTATTTTATTGTAATAATTGCCTTTTCCCTGCAAATTGTATGTAAATTAAATTGATAGTGTCATACGAAGGCCACTATAATATTTTCAAAGATTCCAGTAGTATAAAGACTGTTGATGCTCAAAACCACAATGTTTACACGTACTTATAACATTGTGCTTAATTTCACATGAACCCACGGACACGGTTTAGGGTTTTTATATCAAAACTATTCGCATGTAAATTGTATATGCAACGATAAACGCAAAAGGAGAGAGATGTGGTTTGACATTTTCCGTTAACATTTCTTGGTATTTGATCCAAATTAAAACGAAGTAAAAGAAAAATAGAAGGTTTTTATTTTCTTCCACTCTTACATATTATACAGAATCTACTCACCAAGAAGGTCACTATCTAATTAAAGTATCTAAATTCTTTGCTTGCCAGAGAACAACAAAAGTACATTGCCTTTTCTTTGTAAAAATAAATCTTGAAAATAAAAGGGAGGTTACTACGATCACCACATTTAAAGCATCTTGGTCGAGACATACGATCATTGGGAACTAGTTCTACTTTCTCCCCTACATCATTTGTAGCCACGATTCCTGGCTTTATATTAGCAAACTCCCCAAGCACACAATCAATATGACAAACAACCCCGCAATCGTCACATGTGTAAAACCATTCTATCGGATTTAAAAGGGTTTCACAAATCTCACACCAATATTTTCCGCGTACCTTTTTACCGCGGCGCAGAAATAGAAAATGTTCATCACATTTGTGCTTTATCCTTTTTGGTAGAGTAGCACACCAGAAGTCTAAGGTAAACTTGCACTCGATGCAACGCAACACACTATCTGCCGACTCTTTACAAGCCCCACAAGTACCTTCATCTAGCGTAGTGAGGAATAAGGAATGAGGATGGCAATCAAAGTCAGTGAAATTTGAGAGCGTTGCACATCGCACATCTAGTACTCCCAAACCATCAGCACACATATATACAAACCCATTTGTTACTCTCCAACAAGCATAGCATCTGAAGTAACCAGCATTGGCCGCTTTGGTGTGCAGAGAAAGTGGCTCTGTGAAGAGACCATGCCGTTTATGACGAGGAAGGTTAGCGCATTTTTCGTGAAGAACAAAGTTGCATTCAATACAACTGTAGTGCTTCCCAGAATAGATAATACGCGTGCAAGCTTCACAGCGTATGGTTGCACCACTATTAGTTATAATAGCATCCTCAATAAGCCTTAAGTTATGGTTAGTGTGGGAGAAATGATTTATTACTCCATCTTCTATTATTTTGAACGGCACGACGTCTACGAATTCTTCAGGCACTCCTTGCAATTCTTTCCCATCCCACACATCATTACGAGTCGCACATCTCGAATGAACAACATAAGCAGGACATAGCTCGCAAGAATAAGAACCGTACCTCCAGTTGATCTCCTTACGACAAATGTCGCATATCCAATCCCCAAAACCAAGAGACTTGGTGTGAGAGACACGATGGTCGTGGCGATTGATGTTTATAACATGTGGTAGGTTGATACAATCTTGATGGTACATGAGAAAACATTTATGACACACATAAGGGCTTCCTTCGTCACATGTACCACAAGCATTACATGTGAAGGAAATAGGCCTGGCCATTAGCATAAGTGGGTGCTCATGACACTTGGCGTCATCCACGGTGAGAGGCGGGGATTTGTTGGCACATTTCATATCCATGCTGAAATCACATAGTGAACAATGGTAAACAAACTTCCCGAGTTTCTCTTGGCATAAATGGCATTTCCCGTTGGAGTAACTAGGTGGCCCATTAACGAGAAACTTGAGAGGGTGGTTCGGGTGGCACGGATGAGAGATATCATCCGGTGAGTGTGGAATGCAATATCTGTGCCACTTCAAACGGCAGCTAGGAAAAAGATAGCAGTATTCGAAATATTCGTCTTCTTTAAAGTGCTTCATGCACTCATTGCATACGGAACTGGAATCCTCAATGTGTTGATGGTGTCTACTCCAGAAGTAGCTCCGATTGCGTGGCTGCCTTTCATGTTCAACTCTTCCAAGGCGGACGTAGTCCAACTCTTCCAAATCAGACGTGATCATATATACCTAGGAACGGTTGCGGAGAGCAGAATTATGTAAATGTATATTAAATGTAATGCTCTGAATATTAGTTCATCCTCTTTATCTTCTTCACAATAAATAAATTAACTTGCATCTACGCCAATTCTTAATGATTGACTACATCATTTTTTTGTTAACCTCATTAAAAATTGATAAAATTTTAGGAATATAAAGGATTAATATAACTCATATCACCATGTAAACTTAATGCAATTTACCAAAATGTATAATTTACCCGTCTTCGGCGGCCAGTTCCTCCTTCTTTCCAAACTGTAGCGATCTTACCAAAATTCATGTCACCACCTTTTCACCGGCAGTGGACACGGCGGATCAGCTGGTATACGTCAGTCGTCACCTTTAAACTTTTTGGCCATGGATTGTGCTACTTGGTAAATCCAAGGAAGAAGCATATAGATGAGATGATGAAGAATAACGACAAATCACACTTGTGTGGGTTAGATTTATTGTCTGTGATTATTTTTTTCTTCTTAAACGATACTGTATATATAATTGAATAATAGAATTCCAATGTAATTTTCCTTTTTGTTAAATTTATGTTTCCACTAGATAAATATCCGTGCTACGCGCGGATTTTGTCTTCATATGTGTCTATTATGTTATAAATTTATGTATTTTGTTAGTAATTATTTTATAAAAAATAGCTACAACAGAATTCGTTGATTTATATCAGGTATTAACAGTCATTCATACCA